TACAGTCACACACAGAAGAGCCAGATGAGCTCAGCACAACCCAGCCAGACACACACACACACACACACACACACACACACACACAATGCTTGTGTCCGACATCGAAACTCCACGAACATCCACACCCATACCCAAGTGTGTTAACAGCCAGGTGAGGCCCTCCGTGCAGATGGAGGCCTTGAAGGTAGCCAAGCAGGCAGGTGGGAGGGTGTGTCTGGGGGCAGGCAGCATCCCTGGAGGTCACTGGCTCTGCCTGACAGAGTACAGGGAAGGAGGGGGAGGAGCCCTCCCCAACGCCTTCCGCCACAGCTCCCTGCGCACCTCCACGCACCTCCCTACAAATACACTCATTAGCTGCTGTTTATAGCGGGCACGGCACTCGGATGAGCGCAGCTATTACGGCCGGCCAGCTGCCGCCCGCACACGCAAACGCACGTAGGTACATACAGACCCAGCAGCGCACGCCGCCCCGCCCTCCGCTGCCACCAGCGCTGGAGCCCCGAACGCACAGTCACAGGAATAGATCAGTTCCCCAACATCCCTGCTCACCACGCAGGTGGACTCCCAGCCCGGCCCTACAGGCCACACACCTGCAAGGGGCCCTTCCAGGTGGAGGCTGCTGAGCCCCCCAAAGCACGGCCAGTGACCGCCAGTCCACCTTCACAGCAACTGGTCTGGAATTCCAGGCGCAGGCTCTGGGCGCCATCCAGCCCCTTCCACAGGTCCCACGCCGTCTGCCAACTCTGTTCCAACCCTGGGGGAATTCTGCTGGGTGAGACCAAAGCCCTGCCCTCCAGACACCAATTGGACAGGGCCCAGGAGGTCTGCCCCTGTTGCCTGGAAGGTCAGTGACTTTCATGTCCATGGAACTGGCACAATTCGCTTGGCACCACTGGCTGGGCTTCCCTGGCAAGGCAGGAGGGCACCCAGGATGGGGCTGGCACAGGCTGGCTCCGGCACCTGGCCAGACCAGTGACCTCTCTGAGAGAGAAAGCAGACCTCACTAGCTAAGAGTACCACCTGGCAGGCACTGCCCATGGAGCAGGGCCCGCTCTGCCCACCTGAGATGCCTCAGCGCCTCTGAGGCCAGGGAGTTGAGACTCCTCCTCCAACCCAGAGTCCTCTGCTCAGTACTGGGTCCCCTTCTCCCCCACGCGGCCCCCCTCACCAGCTCCTCCCTGCTGTTCTCAGACTCACTCCCTTGGGGGAAGCAGTTATTGAAAATGGTCCATCAGATTCAATAAGGATTCAGTCCCTGAGAGGATGGGCTGGGACGTGGCTAAGTGTTAGCACTTGCCTCGTGTGTGAGAGGCCCTGGGTTCCGTCCCCAGCATGGGAGGGAGGTGAGTCCTTGAGAGAACAGTGAGAGGACCAGAGTCGGGGTGAGGGGTGAGGGGGTAAGGAGGCGGGTGGGGGGGAGAGAAGGGGACCATGTCCTTCTCTGCCCTTCCCACACAGCAGCACTGGGGGGGCTGAGAGGAGCAGCCCCCATTGGCATGCTATGTCACCTTCAGTGTCCCTGAGGCCCAAGCTTAGGGGTTCAGGATCCAGCTGGCCAAGGGCAGTCTTTGCTCAACTGATACTCACCTGTTCTTCCGGCTTCCAGCTGTGCCCTCACCTGCCACCAGCCAGCCTGTAGGTCCTCATCCCAATTCAGCCTGCTCTAGTGGCTTCCCCCCCAGCAAGGAGGGGCTTTGGAGCCATCTCTGTCCCCACCATCCTCCACCTAGCCTGTTGGTGGAGCTGTCCCCACAAGGCCATAGAGCAGCATGAACCAAGGCCAAAGGAGGGGCCAGTCTCCACAGCAACTCTACAGCTGGGAGGTGGGGACTCTGGCCCACACCCCTAGAGGGCATCCTCTCCCACCCTGGTGTTACACCTGCTCAGCCCAAGAGCCCTCTCCCTGCCATAACTTTTGGGAGACCAGACTACAGGGTGACCTGTGACTGGGTACATGGGGCAGCTTGGGAGAAGGTCAGAAGGTGGTCAGTGAAATGATGGGACAGAGTCAGGCCTCCTCGGACCATCCCACACCACAGCCCCAGCCCTAATCCTGGTGATCCTCATAGGGCACCTTAATCTGCCCTGTAGCCCATGCCCCTAACTCCTGATTCATACACATAGCCTCATCAGCCTCGGTCCCTAACTTGTGCCCAGTGAGTGGAGGATTGCCGGGACCAACTCTGTGGATCCTTCTGCCTTAGAAAGGGGACCCACCATGCCAAGGGACCCTGCCCCAGGCAATATGAAAGAGCCTGGTACCCACACCCCCAAGAAATGGGCTGCCTGACAGAATGTCTGTAGGGGATAGATCCCACTAACAGGTGGGACAGACGCAGGTTTTGCACACAGCTACCCTTGAGGGAACAAGCTCACAGAGGGCTGGGGACTGGGGAGGCAGCCCCCGGGACCTGACCTCTCTCCCAGCAGTTCTCTCTCTGGCCTTGCTCACTAGCTCACTGCAAGGTCACCTCTCCCTCCCTCCTCCTCCCTGCTGCCATCCTGCCTGCCCACTGCAACGCTGACCCCTGCAGGCCTGTTGAGGCCCTGCCCGGCTTGGGGACAGGCAATTGGAGAGACAGAGGGAAGCCCAGCCAGGCCAGTTTCGGGATACAAAAAGATAGAGCCTGAGGGCAGAGGGGGGTTGCAGGTATGGCTTGAGAGACTGGGCAGAGTGTGGAGCAGGGGCCCATGGGTGTGCATGGGAGGGGACAGGTCTGCATTCTTGTTCTCCATCGGGATCTCATTTTTTCCCACAGTCTCTTTCTTCATAATACATGGAAGAGAGTGTAGTGCCTGGGGGACAGGAGCCCAAGTGGGGAGGAGGGAATAGCACCTGCCAGGTAAGGTCTTAACCATACGCGGAGCCCTGTGGGGACCTGCAGAGTGGGTAGGGAGAGAGCACCACAGAGACCCCCTGGCTCCAGCCAGGGGCCGGGGGCAGCGGGAGAGAACAAGAAACGTTTTTAAAAAGCAGGATTGGGCCGCAGGTGTTCCTGAGAGGGGGATAAGACCAGGATAGAAGAGGTTCTGGTTCCTGGGGGACCAGAGGGGAAGAGCAGGACTGGCCTGAGTCACACAGGAATCAATTTGCATTTCTCACTCCCACCTGGCAAGGCAAAGGGGGACTGAGGTGGGCAGAAATGAGGGACAGAGCTCTGGCTGGAGGAACAGCATCTCAGGCGGCCTTGAGTGAGCTGAGAGAGGAAGTCTGACTTGGAGCTATAGGGATTATAGGAGGTGGGCACAGATCCCAGGGGGACACCGAGGCCAAATGGAAGTCTCTGACCCCTTGGAGATCTCTGGATGACTAGGATCCAAACTGTCTCTATCCTCTCCAGACTATTTCTGACCCCACCCATTGAGTGCTTCAGGTCAGCCCCCTTCCTACACAGAGTGCCTCTGCCAGGGGCCCTAGGGGGCCCTGTAGCTGCAGGGGGACAGGACAGGTCCCAATCCCAGACAGGGAGATCCAACCAGGGAAGGGGGAGGAAAGGTCAAGGGGATGCCAGTGTTGGAGTCTAGGCCCTTTGCCCAGAAGATGCCAAGCCCTTCAAAGTTGGCCTCCGTGGAGAGGGCAGAGGTGCTTGGAGAAATGGTGATGTCATAGTGCCCAGGCGTGGGAGTGCTGAGGAGTGGGGGAGAGGGATGAAGGCAGGGCCCCAGGCCAGTGGCCTAACTGGAAAGGAAGGGGGAGGCTGCCAGCCTGGCAGGGCAGGGGGAAGGGAGGCTCCTCACTGCACCCTCTTCCAGCCTACTACCCTGAACTGGTCTCTCAACAAAACTATTGCCTTCTGAGAAGGTGAGCCAAGCCAGAGATGCCCCTGCCCTCAGCCCTGGTGCTGGAAGCTGGCTCCTCTTGGGGGAAGATGCCAGGGTTGTGACCTGGGTCCAGATGGATGAAGGGAGGACTCTCCAAAGGCAATGCCCCTGTAGCCCTCACCTAGAGGACAATCATAGAAGGGCACGAGGTTCCAGAGGGAAGACTGAGTCTCTTTTCCCCTGATACCCAAGTGCTAAGTGAGCATGATACCAGGAGCCCAGTAGGTGGTCCCCAGTCCACCTGGGCTGAAATGAACTGACAGGGGTGACAGCTGGTTCTTCAGGAGGCAGGGATGGATTGATTCTGTCCCTCCAGGAAAGAGCAAGTGCAGGCTGGGGCCAGAACAGGCAAAGCCAGTGCCCACCAGCCTGTCCTCCCATCAGCCTGCCCTGGAGAGCCTCAGGAGGAGCTTTCTGCAGAGGGTCTTAAGCCTTTCCTCCCTCCAGCACCTGCACCCCAGGTGCAGCAGACAGCCCACAGACTCTTCATCCGGGAGTAGGTCCTAGATCCGAGTGGTGCTTTCAGCATGGGACAGCAACCCAGAAAGAGACCCCGATGGCAGAATTGGTGGATGGGGGCGGTGTCCTGAGTCAGGGGGAGCACCCCAGATAGAAGCTGGGACTGAGCCTGGGCAGGAGCTGCAGGGGACCTGCCTACAGGTGGGCACTGCGTGAGGAGGCGTCAGGAACCAAGGAGGAAATGGCAGAGCAATTTCCCGAGGAAGGAGAAGAGATTGCTGGCTTGGACTTGGAAGATGCTAAGCAGACAGTGGGCTCCCGGCCACTCCCTTTGAGGAGAAATGCAAAGGGGTGCCGCCCCTCCCCCTCCCTCCCCGACAACACTGGAGTGAGTTTGGGTTCTTTGCTTCCCCCTCCTCAAGCCTAGGAGAACATCCCCCCAGCATCCCCATTGTCATCGGCCGCTGCGCTCTTTCCCCTCAGGTACCCCTACCTCCCCTCTCACGCTCCTGCGGTTCCCCACCCCCCAGAAGCCTCCCAGCCTTGCTGCTGCACCAGATTCCCACCTGCCCCCTGGCACCCTCTCAATTCACAGTTGGCACGGCCAATGCCACTCCGCTCCCCTGTGCCCACGATCTTGGCCCAAAGCGGCAGGATCCTCGCCCTGGGGTCCCTCCGCGCTAGCCTCCCCGGGCACTGGTGCTGGGGAGCGGGGGTACCTCTGAGGGCACTGCCCTGCTCCCGCGGGGGCAGTGGCTCCTCGCTCCGCCACACACGTTGTCCTTGGGCTGCTGGGGGGCGGGGGGAGGAGGTCCTTGTGGGGACACTGCGAAGCCGGCCCCAGGCATCAAGCCTGGCAGTGTCCAAGACTGCGGGTTCAGGGTCCCAGGCGCTGCCACTCGAACCCGAGCCCCCAGGGTTGGGATG